TAATGGAACTTCCGGTTTGTTAACAGGAATACACGGAGGAGTTCCGTGACATTGCCAAGGGCAACAAATCAAAAGAGGCACTGCCGGCAGCACCCATCACGCTCATCAATCAGCGACCTGTGGCCGAGGATGTGCACGTAAGCAGCGCCCCTCCTAAGCGACCTACGTACCCATTAATTAAAAGCATTCTACACTGATTCTCCGACAGGAATACTCCACAACAAACAGCCTGAAGAAGAACACCAGCACGCTGGGCAGCACCAGCAGCAGAGCGAGCGTGAAGAGCGATATTGTGGCCACGCAATCCTCAGCCACCACATCAGAAGCCAAAACATCGGCGGCGGCTGCCGGCACAGCGACAGCGTCAGCTACGCCAGCGGCGGCATCGAATCGCAATCCGAGCGTAACGTAAGTTGAAACAGTTTGTATTGTTTTGAATTACACTCGAGTGCTCGCCTGGGCCAGAGACACGTCGCGTTGGATGCGCTCATTTTCATTGAACTAATTGATTTCAATTTGTATACACAGCAACGGCAACGGCAACGGCAAAGTCGATGCAAATCCGTTCGACGAGGAGGAGGAGTGGGACGAGGGCGACAACGTGCTGGTGGACAACGGTGAGCCGGGCGTGCCGGTCAAAGCGCTGTATGATTACGAGGGCGCTGAAAGTGATGAGCTCACATTCAAGCAAGGTGCGTTCCGGGCGAAGCCCTCCATATGATAATCCCTAACGCCCCGTTTCCCCCTTTATGCTTTCAGGTGATGTTTTCGAGAAGCTCGAAGATGAAGACGAACAAGGCTGGTGCAAGGGACGCATGAATGGTCGCGTCGGCCTGTATCCGGCCAACTATGTAGAGATATTCAACGCGTAAGAGGGCGGGCGCAGCAGTGGAAGTCGTTAAGCAGATATAGATATATACAACCATATACGTATATATAGATATACACCGAGGTTAGAGACGCATTACGAATTGCGTATACAGTAGAGCAGTCGTTGATGAAATATTACCATACATATGTATTAGAAATTGTTATGAGCAATCGCTTGCACTACGCGTACTCTGTGCGCGATAGTGCGGCCTCTGAGGTGTTGGATATCGGGAGGAGTAATTCTTTTAAATAAAAGATGCTCCGGTACCGATCAGCCAACCAACCAACCAACCAACCAACCTACCAATCAACTCACCAACAGTAGCAATGGCGGCCGTTAGCAGGCCGATACGAACATACGGATATATGTAACAAAAACTTAGCTAAAAGTCGTCAACAGAACAATAAGTGTAAACGTCAATGTATGCAATGGCATTACGAATTAAATGTATTATGTAATTTATATGCTATGTATAACAACTGAAACTGAAATTATGTATTTTTTGTCACGATGCGGCGCATTTTTACTCCCCCCACTGGGCCGTAGCCTCTTTTGTGGTCGTGGCCAGCCGGGGGACGCAGCAAAATCTTTGGCAGATTTGGATATTGTACATGCATAGCATTTGTAATGCGTTTCTTGAACATTTTATTATTTATGAAGTTTTGTGTATACATACATATTGGATTATGTATACGTATATTATTGTACTTGTACATTTTTAAATGACTTAAATTATTGAAATAAAACAATGAAAACACAAGTTGTTGCTTTTGTTGGGATTTCACAGTATTCTACTACTTTTGTTAGGATTTAAATTTACGGTTTTCAATTTGAAACATAATTTTCTATACTGCAAGGCACACACCGTAATAATAATCAGATATAATAAACAACATATTTTAAAAGATATTTTTTTTTTAACCCTTTAGGCCATAAAACGGCCTTGAGGCACTTATTACATTATTCACAATTCAAAAAATAATAAAACCTACGTTTAAATATGTTTAGCAGTTAAGAATAGATGCTTAATTAAGTATGTAAAGGACTTTTGAAAGCTCTTAGAAGCTTTTAACGGTACTGGATTTTCTTTTGATTTTAAAAGTTAAAATATAAAAATTAACTAAAACGTTGATTTAAGGAAGGTTAATTAGTAAAATAGAATTACAGATATGAAAATATGTTATATGCATGCGTTGTAGCAGTGAAATAGTGATAGGCACCTATTTAATTTTTTCTCGCCTTAAAGGTAAACGAAAGGTTCTACCTTGTTTTTGAATAGCTTATTTGAGTTTAGAAGGCACAAATCACTCTAGAAAAAAATTATTTCTTTTAATTTTTTCCGTTATTGTGGAAAGTGGCATTAGAGGGTTAATATAAAACAAATTCTATAGCAGTTTCTAAGGTGTTAATGTCACTAATATTTAATTAACTTTATTTATTTATTTTCTTTTGATTGTATCATCGTCTTACGCTTTAACTGCATATTGAGTATATTTCTCGTGAACAAAATTATTTAAAAGTTTGTACTCAAGAGCGTTTTATATTATCGGTTATAAGTAAGAATAATACGGGTTAAAGTATGCTTTTGGGGATGAAAGTATAAGACCTAAGTAATGTACGGCTTTTCTTATAGCTTAAAAATAATTTAATAAACATTTCAAGTAAACTTAACGTATTTTTTAAGTTCCTGGTCGAACACATATAGGATGCCACAAAAACTAAATTATCTTTAGGTCTTAGGCCAAACGCATACCTTTAATAATAAATGAATATTGATATGACCTTTAAACGACTGATGTACCCGGTATTCAAGGTTTTTTTTCCTTAAATTAAAACTCTTAGGACTGAAACCGACGACTCACTATCAGCGTTTGTTGATCATTGGAAGTGTGCTCAAGGCTGGTCCACTTGCAAAAATGATGAACCGGTGAACCTGGAATCTCTTTAAATTAATGTCTTCTTATGAGGGATAATAAAACAGAAGTAGATAATATTTAATGTGATTTATTACACTCAGTTAACTAAGTCTAGTAACACGACTGTTATGCATGCGGTCAATTTACCGTAAAGACAAAACCTTTTAGCAGTATAATATTACGATATGACAAACATTTATTATGGCGAAACGGCTAAAGTTTAGTTAATGAATTAAAAACCATATAATAACACGACATTTGAATAGTTTTTGATAAATTTTGTATTAAAAAATATTTAGAGGTAGAGGAGTTATAGGGAATCTCCCGAGTCGCTTCCAAAAAAAGTTGGTTTGCGGTGTACATCCTAACTGTCCATAAAATCATCCGATCTTCAAAAATTATACCTCATTCGGTAAAGGATAAGTGTCCCGAGGTATTCACGAAGAGTTTTTAGTTTTAAAATTTTTTTCCTGATTTTTTATCAAAATTTGAAGTCAAAACCCCGATTTTTGACTTAAAAATTAAGTTAATTTGTTAAATAAAAAATATAAGAAAATTAAAAATTAAAAAAAGCTCGACGTGAATACCTGTAGAATTATCTAAAGAAGTTATGTTCCAAATTTCAAACCGATTGGTTCAGTAGATTTTGAGTTATCGTGTACACCGATTTTCAAAATGGCATTTTTCAGGAGAGCGCTTTAAACTTTGTGATTCTCATGCATTGAACACCAAGCGACCTTCGTTCAACTCCGCATAACTTCGTCAATTTTACTCTGATCGATGTAAAACTTGGACACAATATTCTTAAGATATTAGGCCTTATAAATAAATAAAATAAAAAAAAATTTACGAAAAAAAAAATTAAATACCTTAACCTCCCCCCCCTCTAAGAAATTTAAGGTAAATTTTTGAAAAATGTTTTGATCAAATTTAGTTTTATTAATTCACAGTAAAAATACTGTGATACTGCGTGAATAATTTTAAATATATTTAACGAAAACAGTTTCTAGTAATTTTAGCCAGGTAGAATTTGTAGTAGTAGTAGTACCTCGAAAATATAATCAATAGAATTTTTATTCATCGATTATCTGCCTTTACTGGCAACCATAGGTAGAATTATTACAATGCCATATGCAGTGTGAATTTTAACCTTCACAGAACTGTAATCACTACACACAAATGATATTGACGTTTTGCTCTTTTGGGAAGCTGAAAAAACAATGCAAATGAGCAAAGCTTACATGAGCTTACTAAAATTTGCAACATGCTAATTAATATTTATCTAATAATGTGGTTCGTAGCTGCAGACTGAAGCTGAGTAAGAAATATATAATTTTTAATGATCATAAAAGAAGAAAAAAAAAAAAAACATATAGCTGTAGAGATTTACTCATAATGTACAAGCAAAACCTAACCCCCTATATTTTTATTTCGCCTATTTTACTATACTCGTACATATGTACATACATAAGAAGCCCCCATGCCAAGTCATGCTTTCGTCAAGATCGTGCCTAATAATGAACAATGGGTTGATGAGCGTTTTTTTTTCTTGCCCATGTTTTCATTGAAATTAATCATAGAAGCTTAATATTGCTCGCCCTAGACACCCATTAGATTTATACGAGCGTAAGGTGCATAGATACCCTAGCATTTTTTTTGTAAGGAAAGTAATAAGCTGGCAAGATAAAAAATATATATATTTTTTTGAAAGTAGTAACAAGTTTGATAAGAAATAAACCAACCCTCGATCATAAAATATCATACCCCTAGAAGCAAACCCGGCACTCAGTTCGCTTTACAAAAAATTCTAAATATTTCATGAATAGTTACACGTTATTTCCCTTCTGGCAATGAACACTGGGTATAAATAGTGGGCTTACAAGATAACTTAATTGCATGTTATCTGTGATCGAAGAGCTTAAAAACCCATAACGAATGGAGGCCAGAAATGTTTTTGTTTCTTCTTTAAGCGATTCTCAGTTTAGTCATAACCAAACTTTTTGCTTAAAATAAAATTAGAGAATTTAAAAAAAGAAACATTCACAACATCTGTGGCTATATAACTTGAAACAGCGCTTTTGCTTTTGGTGAGCTATAGCTCTGCCGGAACATGACGTCTTCTGCCTAACACAGAACCTCCGGCAGGCGATAATAATATATCCGCAGCGCGCTTGAACTATTCTCAGTTGAGCAGTTGCGACTGGTAACGCGAACGGAGTGGACATACGGAGTGAGGTCCGGTCTCCAGTATTATTTAAATAAAGTACGGAAATGGTGTTGATAACGCCACCAGTATGTCGACAATTAAATATCAGTTAATTCCAACAAATGAGGGCGAGCCCATTGAAGGAAAGACCCCACATTGGATAGGGAAAATGTGTTTTCTGTGCACGGCTCTTTTTGTGATTGTGTTCTATGTTCTAAGTTCAGCGGAGGATCAGCTGGAGAGCAGTACCCAAGGTTATGCAGTGACTTCCGGAAGTCCCTTTTCTTTGGAGTCCAGTACAGTGGGTGCAAGGGTTTCTTCGCGTCTTCTGGATGTCCTACAAGATCCGAGCACTCTGTCACCCTGGACTGAGATTACCAAGCAGTCTCCGTTGAGTGACGGATATGAGAAGGGATTGGAAAGCGAAGATGAATGGATCACAGAAGCTCAAATGGCGGAGACCACAACACTCCAAGTCTTGAGTTCCTTAGAACAGATTACCGCTGAGACGACCACGAAAGCCTCTTATCCATTGGAAACGGCTTCGGGAGAGAAATACTTTGTGAATAGCCCTGAGTGCCAAATGCGCCATCCAAATCCCTTCGCCAGTAACATCCGAAAGATCTACAGGAAGCATCACTATATAGTCTGCGATAAGAGTCCCGATATGGTCACAGTGAACTTTAACGACACGACCGGGACCTACAGGCTGCACAAGAACGAGGGCAACTCCACTTGCTGCTTTAAGCGGATCCTCCGAGTAGGACTTCGGACCATGGCGGACCACAAATACAAGTAAGTCGCTTAGTGCCAAATCAGTTATGGCCGCTAAAAAGGATCCCATTTTGCCAGGCTGCTTCCGTGTGAGAAATTCCCCCAGGATTTTGAAGTCCCAACTGAAGTCACGGCCATGATCACCGAATGCCGGAAGAGTCCGCAGGGCAACGTGTCACAAACAGACGCCTTTAGTTTTGTGCATCCCCGGAAGGATTCCAATCCAGCTTTGAGCAAACGGCCCAGCGTCCTGCTCTGGGGCATCGATTCCGTCTCCCGAATGAACTTCCAGCTGACCATGCCCCTCATGCACGAGTACTTGAACGGTCAGCACTGGTACGAGCTGCAGGGCTATAACAAGGTATTATAAATAATACATTTGCTTTTGTTTGAGACTATTCATTTATCTTAAAGCAATAATCTTAAATTTAAAATACTGTTGGATTTCTTGATATCCCTAAGAATGAACGAAATACTTCATTTTTTTCAGATGGGCGACAACACCTTTCCGAACCTAATGGCTCTGCTGACGGGATTTAACAAGACCTACGCCAATGCCAGGTGCCGGCCGAGTGCGGTAGGTGGCCTAGACGCCTGCCCGCTGGTGTGGAAGGACTTCAAGGCGAAGGGTTACACAACGGCCTTCGCCGAGGACTGGAGCAGATTTTCCACATTTGACTTCATGAGCAAGGGCTTCCGTAATCCGCCGACGGACGTCTACGGCCGACCAATGATCCTGGCCTTGGAAAAGGAGCTAAAGAAGACAATAATGGCAGACATGCCCTTTTGCTTGGGCCGCAGGTCATCCGGCGAGTACATCTACGACTTGGCCGAGCAGTTTACCAGGGCCAACCGGAATCGGACCTTCTTTGGCATGTTCTGGACGAATACCTTTAGCCACAATGACTTCTCCATGCCGTCCGCCATGGATGCAAGGATGGTGCAGTACATGAGGTCGTTGGACAAGAACGGCGTCATGGACAACACAATTATCATCTTCTTTAGCGACCATGGAAGTAGGTTTGGTCCGTTGCGAAAATTGGACAGCGGTTTCCTAGAGGAGCGGCTGCCCTTTTTTTATATGCGCATGCCACGATGGATTCGGGAGAAGTATCCGGAGTTAATGAGGAACCTGCGGGCGAACCGCAATCGCCTTACATCGCCATACGACATTCATGCCACGCTGAAGCACATCCTGAGGCTGGACACCCCGCCCGAGCAGCTGCCCCGCCCTGAGGGCTGTCCCACCTGCCACAGCGTCTTCGAGGAGGTGGACTGGGCCCGGAATTGCTCTCAGGCTGGAATTGATGAGCACTGGTGCGGCTGTGACAGCTTCACCGAGTTGCCCTCATCGGATGCCAGGCTTGGAGCTATGTCCACTCAGCTGGTGGACGCCATTAACGAGTTTGTGGCGGGGAAAAAGGGAGCAGAAAAGTGCCATCGCCTGAGGGTGGGACGAGTATTATCGCTGCAGCAAAGGGGCAACTCGAACGCCTATCTGCTGCAGGTATATGCCCAACCAGGGAATGCTTTCTTTGAGGCCACGGTGGACTGGGATACGGGGAGTCAAAGGATTTCCATCCGAGTGCCCAGCATCAGTCGACTGGACTTCTATTCCTATCAATCGAAATGCACGTCGGTCAAGGAAACTAAGAAGTTTTGCATCTGCTGAGGTCTAGGTTCCGCAGGATTGCACCAAAAAGGACCCCCTTCGGTATCTGTCGGATCTCGGATTCCGGGGCCTTTGTTCCAGTGAGTAATAAAGCGTATCGCTAGGGACAATCTGCGTTTAGTTCCTGGCAACCACTTCCGCCAAAGTAATTGCGGTTGAGATTGTGCAAATTCTAAATTAGTTGACAATTACACGACAATTGGCAGATAATTCTCCCGAGATAGCAAGAAATATCAACAGAAACTTACCGCAATCAAGACGCATCTGTAAAATACAATATTAGCAACTATATCTTATAACTGGATTGAGTACAAGTATGAGAATAGTTTATCTTATCAAAGAGGTTTTATTGTGAATTTCGCTTCTTTTAATCTCGAGTGCACTTGAAAAATAAAATGATGTTTATCTTGTGCTGCGAATTTGAGGACATGGCTCTTCACAATATTATGGCCCAAAAGTGCTTGACAAAAGTTGTGATTTATGAAAACAAACATTAGATTTAAGTGTACTTTTAGGAAATTAAAGAATTTATTTACCATTGTATATAATTTAAATTCAAAACTCAACTATAATTAATGTTGAATAATAATAAATGTTGAACATATTACTAATTTTACAACTTGGGCCAGCTTTTGAGAAATGCTGATATTATTTATAGAATTTGAAGAGTTTCTGAACCTATTTTTATATAATTTAAAATCATAAGTAAACTATTGAATCGTAATAAAAGCTGAAGAAATTAGGCCAGTTCTTAGGAAATATTGATATCATGATGTGATAGCATGGGGCTCTTGGCTTCTCAATACAGCCAACTGTAATTAACAGATAGGGGTTTATAAGTTAAAAGTTTTCCAAGAAATTTCAAACAATCCTATATTGGCTCTATTGTACTTAACTTGACGCTTCAGGGTCGTAAGAATCAAAATTATCTATATATATAAAAGATATAGAACATTTACAGCCGATTTCCTGGGACTTGCTATCTTTCTACCATTAAAGTTCACTCCTTGAAGGTTTGATAGGAACTTTAAAAACGGATGTTGACCTAGTACTATTACTTTATAAGTGAACGTAGATAACCGATACTGCTGATAGTTCCTAAGTTTATATTAAATGGTTATACTACATTATGAATAAAGAACTAGAATATAAAATGAAGTGCAGTTTAAAATATATTGTATTAAATGAATTAAACAAGCTTGTTAACTAATTACAGTTAACAGAAGCTTCCCCACTTGCTGCGTATATTTAACATTTGATAAACCATTGTCTCAAGGTAATACAACGGCAGACTAGCTTAATTTATTAAACAACTCATCGCCGAAACTTTGAGGTTTGTATGAGGTATTAGAGTCATTGAATCGGCTGATTGCATGTTCTCAACAATCATAGTAGAAAACTGGTAAATACATTATATGATGTCATTAGCAAGCCTTCTACTCCATCGTTTTGTCTGGTGTTCTTCGCTGTATCCGCCATATGCTGACTATCCGATGGTTATTCGCAATTAACAGTGTAATTGATACTCTTCGAGACCCGCGAGAGTCGAGGGTTGCCACAAAACTCGTTTCCCAAAGGCAACTGTTGTGAAAACACATTTACGAATCAATCAAAACATACGCGCATCAAAATATATCAGGCTCAACTTGTTTTCCCATCGAAGGGATGGGCTTGGGCTGAATGGGATTGGAGGACACGGCCCAAAACATGGCAGCGGATTGGGAGGGGAACCAGAACCACCCTGGAAGCCACTGTCTTAACCACAACAATTTATAAGCTATACAAAATTTGTTAAGTGTTTCAATGTTTTGAGTTACCGAAGAGTGTATGCACTCTATCTGTATTTTGTAAATATTTGTTTTATTTTTTTATTTAATTTAAAATTCTATTTTAATGTTACACTTAAGCTATAGAAATACAATTTTTTTAGTTAGTTATAATTATTTTTAATGTTTTAAAATTCAGATGTTATTTTCCTGATATAAACTTAAGCAACCTAAAGTTTATTTTAAGGAAACAGGAAAAACTGCAGAGAAGTTTTTTCTTCAAGATTAATAAACTTTTTTACAATATGTGATAAATATCGTATTATTGAGATCGCTGGTCATACAATATATAGAATATATCTAGATGATCTAGATATTATATTAGTGCTAATCCTTGCAAATTCTGATATAGATCAATTTCTATACACTTAACGGTTTCCTTCATATAATTAACAAAATATTTCATTAATTACCATTAAGTTTTTACCCCTCCCAAACGGTTAGGGCATAAAGATATCGACATAAAAACAGAAGCTGAAATCATAAACATTGTGACCGGCGAACATTTGATTGAAAGTCAGATACAATTGCTTGTGGAATCGTGTACTTTATTGCCTTGCCGGGCCTAATCTTTGCCGCTGATAAGGGTAATATAATTGAGCCCCGGCCAGAGACAACCGGCGGATGACTACCTGGCCAGAGTTGGGAAACGCCTATTAATCGCCTCGTTGCTCCCGAATGAGATTTGTATTGGGCCAGGCGGCTCTTCGTCCTGCGAGACAGGGATGGCCGTACTGTCTCTCTCGAATGCAAATGGCGGCGGTGGGCAGTCCTTGGATAAATAGCTCGGGGATGCGCAGCGAACTCAGCAGTAGCACTTGAACCAGCTCGGCGAGAGGATCGCGCAAGGATGAGTGACTTTAGCATCGAGTATATCCTGAACCGTGCCGGCGACAGATATGTGGGTACGAACGCCTCCTTGGGAGTCATGCAACGACTACGCGGCAGCTTGCCATTCCACCCGTACGCCGGCCATCCCACCAAGGAACTCCGAGCATCTCCGCCAGCTGCGGAGGAGAACCAGATGCCGGTCTACGACTGGCTACAGTACACCCGATATCATCCTCCCAAGCTTCCGCGGGGCCTGCGCCAAAGTGGCCCCGCCAAACGGACGCCTGGCCGTTTGCCCCGCATTCCTTTTACGCCAATGCAGCTCCAGGCGCTAGAGAGTGCCTACAAGGAGTCCAATTACCTGAGCGCCGAGGATGCCAACAAGCTGGCCGAGTCCCTGGAGCTGACCAACACCCGGGTGAAGATCTGGTTCCAGAACCGACGGGCTCGCGAGCGACGGGAGAAACGGGAAAAGGACGAGAGCTGCGACTCCACCTTCTCTTCAAATGCCTCCAGTCCGGAACCGGAAATGCTCGTCGTCGTTTAACTTAGGACAATTTAGTAGACTTTATTCTTCCTCTACGGCTGTTACTGTGTAACTTAGTGGCTTCTTGTAAATATATATTATAAGTTAGTTAATCAAAATACAAAAAATAGCATTAAAAATCTGTCAATATCAATATTAACTGTTTAAATATGATTTGTTTAAGCTGGGATGGTCTTTGTGGTTGACATTTAATTCAATATGCTAGTTTGGGAACTTTCGATGGATTCCTATCTAAATTTACAAGATAATTTAATAAATAAATATGTAAATAAATTACATACTTGAGACCTTGTCCATTAAAATATAGTCTGCTGAAAAATAATTAATCTTAATTGGAAAATCTTCCTTTGGCCAGTTAAAACATTACATTTTATTTGTTTCTTTAGCAGAAGTATAATTTTTTCAAGCCATCGTCAAATATAATCTAATATATGTCCATATGGTAAGTACTAGTATCTTGCGGATTTCATTGCTGACATAAGATCATCACTCGATTGATTCTGTTTGCTATATCTGTGTCGGTATGCTATATCTATTTTGGTTTTCTGTAAAAAGATCACAAAAAGAACTAATAATAAATGAAAGTCTACTCATAGAATTAGAATATTGAGAGTTTAAAGACATTGTCGAACAATTTTGATTAAAAACAAGAAAGGAAGCTAACTTCGGCACGCCGAAGTTTGTATACCCTTGCAGATATTATTTCATTACAGTTTACCTATACTTATTATGTTTACAGTTTGACAGTTACAGTTTTGCATTCCCAGCTTTACATTTTGTATACATCTACCGATCGGTTTATATGGCAGCTATATGATATAGTTGTCCGATTTCTATGAAATTTATACCAAAATTCTAGAACAATAAAAAAAGCCTATATCTCAGAGTAGATACAAATACGTTGAAAAACAACGAAGCAATAATTTTTTTCCTATTAATTTCCCGATCGTTCCTATGACAGCTATATCATATAGTCGTCCGATTTTCATAAAATTTTTACCAAAATTTAGAAATAATATAAAATGGCCATATCTAAAAAATGGTGCAAAAATATTGAAAAACAGCAAAGTTATAATTTTTTTCTAAAAATTTATCGGACATTTGTATGGCAGCTATATGATATAGTCGTCCGATCCGGCCCGTTCCGACATATATAGCAGTGAGAGTATATAGAAGACTATATGCAAAGTTTCATTCAGATAGCTTTTAAACTGAGGGACTAGTTTGCGTAGAAACGGACAGGTGGACAGACGGACAGACGGACAGACGGACAGATGGACAGACGGACATGGCTAGATCGACTCGGCTGTTGATGCTGATCAAGAATATATATACTTTATAGGGTCGGAAACGTCTCCTTCACTGCGTTGCAAACTTCTGACTGAAATTATAATACCCTGCAAGGGTATAATAAAAATAGTAACATACATATCGACGCATTTTCGCGAAAGTATCGTATGTCGAAAAATCCAATTTTACAGGAGAAGCTTTTTTGTGCTTTAATCTCTTAGGAAGCTCTATAGAAAAGACAAAATTGAAACTTAATTTTTATCGGAACTATAGGGTTTTTAGTTATAATATTTCACAGGGTAGTGAGACATTAGGTGCCCAACAATTTTGCATTAAAATCTCAATTTCGAAAAAAAGCGACATACGATACTTTCGCGAAAATGCGTCGATATGTACATGGAGACGTGTAAAAAAAAACACCAAAATTTTTCCGAGTGTTCCAGATTGTTTTATAAATTTACCGATCGCTCGTATGGCAATTAAATGATCCGTTCCTTTTATGAACATATATACTAAGATACTATAAAATTATGATGATTGGTAAGATTTATCTAGATTGTTTTAAAAATTATGGATTAGTTTGTGTAGTAACGGAAAGTTGACTCTATGTCGACACTGGCAAATCACACAAACATTTTTAACATTTTCAGAAATGTATAAAAGAACCAAGTTGTATTTTTTATTAATAAAATTAGTTTTTTATTTATTATTTTACAAATTTTACTTTTAATAATTTTCATTTAAAACTTGTCAGTGCAAAAGTCATACACAAAATTAGTATTTAAAATTTACATTAAAATTTTGTATCAAAAATGTCTTTAAACCATCTTAGCACTCAAAAACGATTAACGCACTTAAAATAATATTTCTAATAAAGTATTTGAATATTTATTTAATTTTGGAAGTGTGTGAATACATTTTTGAATTAGTTATTAAAAGTACATTTTAATAGAAATTCTAACTAAAAATAGAATATAACAAACAATTCATATATTTGTTTCGATAGCTATTATAAATTAAGCTTAAACTAAAGTAAATTGTAAGCTATTATACACCATTTAATAACCATTTTAATCCAAGCCAATAACTATTTTCCCAACCACCCCTGGATATCCATTTCACCTGATGCAAATTGAATATGGATTGAGTAACTTAATATTTCACAGCGGAAACTGGTTGACTTCACTGGTTCTTCTGCTTCCCATGGCATCAGCATCACTTTGGCATAATGGGATCAAACGCAGCCGCCCCCAGGATAAGTAATGATAAGACGATGTGTGGCCGAAAATCGAGGGCATATGGGAAAATATCCGAAAAAGGTGAATGAAAATAAGGAAATTCGCGTGCCGGAAAAACAGCAAGCAGGAACGAGAGGAAGACGAAGGGCGGCAGGCTAAGCCGATTTTGCAATTGTTGCCGCTGTTTTTATGGTCAAGAGTAATTTGTTTTTCCGCTGCCTTTGTTTGTAAACATGCAAAAATATCAGATTACAGAGCAGCAGTTCCTCCAGGAGAAGGAGAGTAGCAGAGGCCTCGAGGGGGGAACCAAGAACGGATGCATTTCCCAAGCCTTGATTCTGCCACAAGGTCTGGCAAATGAGTTTACGCAAATCCAGAGGATCTCTTTTTCTAATCCCAAGCTAATCCGATCATATGAGCAGGGAATGGGCCTCCAGGAGATCCACGCTGAAGTGGACAACAGGAAGAGAGGATAGCATGCGCCATTTGTTTATCCAAAATGAACATCGATCAGTGGACATCGTCGAAGGGTTACCAGAATATCGAATGTCGCATTTCCTTAGATTGCAAATGTGGATTGCAATATGACAAGAAGAATACATAGTTTTTAGGGCTGCAATGTCTTTTCAGATCGCGGATCCTTCCTCGCCCATATCCAGACAGTCGAATGATCCCGAACTATT